GAGTCAGCCGGGCTCGGGCGGAGAGAGGAGCTGCTACGCCACAGCCCAGCGGCGGCCATTCGCGGAAAAAGAGGCAGAGCCTGTGCCAGCTACAGCCTCCTCCGAGCCACCGCGGGCGGGCGGGACCAAAAAAAACACCTCTATCCCAGTGTCTCCGTCTGAGGGTTTGTCCTGTTAATGCGGGATGAGCGGTACGTATTCTCCACCCCCCTCGGTCTCCTTCACCGCCTCCCTCCCTCCCTCCCTCCCCAGACCCTGCTCGGTTCTCCCCCCTCCCCCGGGGCCGCTGAGATGCTTTAAGGGGAGGAGGAGAGGGCGGGAGGGAATCAGGGGGAGGGAAGGAGGGTTGTGTTTTGTCTTAATGTCTGAGAGAGAACAACCTCCTTCTGGGTGTTGCTCTGGAGCCGATGGGTCGGGTTTCAAACCACGTTTTGTGATATCCCCCTCCTCCCTTCCCTCCTTCTCCCCCACCCCCTGCCGGTGTGCGTGGATCGCGGGTTTATGGAGATTAATGTTCAGGGGGAGGGGGAGAAGAGAAGAGGGGGAAGACGAATAATAATCCTAATAACCTGTTGTCGTGTGTGTGTGGGGGGGGGTTTGTTGCAGATCAGAAGAAGGAGGAGGAGGAGGAGGCGGCGGCGGCAGCGGCGATGGCTACAGAAGGAGGGAAAACCTCTGAGCCAGAGAATAACAATAAAAAACCCAAAACCTCAGGCTCCCAGGTAAAAGCAAACATATAAAAAAATTAATCACGAAACGTAAGGGGAGAGAGGGAGTTATGCCCTTTAAATGCCCAGAAGTGAAGAACAGAATAAAAATGTTTATCCACTCAAAGCATCTTTCTGAGGAAGTTTAATTGTAAATTCATAAAGGTTTCACATGTTTGAGGGTAACGTTGTTTAGAATTACATATGTGACTCAGACTATACGAAAATGGTGTATATTTTTCCCAAGGGCATTTTGAGTTTAGAAAAAATAACACTTTAAGAAAGTTTTTAAAAAATTTCCTTTTATTTAAACTTTATGTTACAGGATCTACTTCCTTATTCCTCTATCTTACTGTTTTTGTTAGTATTTCTTTTTGATTTCTGCCACTTCCTCAGTAAGTTCTGAAATGTAGAGCTGTCAAAGTAAATAAATAAGCCCCTCCCAACTACTGGCCGCCACTAAATCCGCCCACCTTTTTTTCCCCCCCTCTCCTTTACCATCCCGTTTTGGGTAGGACTCTCAGCCCTCTCCTCTGGCTTTACTGGCAGCTACTTGCAGCAAAATAGGGACTCCTGGTGAAAATCAAGCAACTGGACAACAACAAATTATTATAGATCCAAGCCAAGGATTGGTGCAACTTCAAAATCAACCACAACAGCTAGAACTGGTAACCACACAACTTGCTGGGAACGCTTGGCAACTTGTTGCCTCCACTCCTCCTGCTTCAAAAGAAAATAACGTTTCTCAACCAGCTTCTAGTTCATCTAGTTCTTCCAGCAGTAATAACGGGAGTGCATCTCCTACAAAAACTAAATCAGGTAATTCTTCCACCCCTGGCCAGTTTCAAGTCATACAAGTACAAAATCCAAGTGGTAGTGTACAGTACCAAGTGATTCCACAACTTCAGACAGTGGAAGGCCAGCAAATTCAAATCAACCCAGCCAGTAGTTCATCTCTACAGGATTTGCAGGGTCAAATTCAGCTCATTTCTGCAGGTAATAATCAAGCTATACTCACGGCTGCTAACAGGACAGCTTCTGGGAATATTCTTGCTCAAAACTTGGCAAATCAGACAGTTCCAGTTCAAATTAGACCTGGTGTTTCAATACCACTGCAATTACAGACCCTTCCTGGTACTCAGGCTCAAGTTGTAACAACTCTACCAATTAACATTGGAGGAGTGACTTTGGCTTTGCCAGTGATAAACAATGTGGCTGCAGGAGGAGGGACTGGACAGGTTGGCCAACCTGCTACTACTACTGATAGTGGGACTTCCAATGGGAGTCAGTTAGTTTCCACACCCACCACCACCACCGCTTCTGCCAGTACTATGCCGGAATCTCCCTCCTCCTCCACTACCTGCACAACCACTGCTTCAACATCTCTGACGAGCAGTGACACGTTAGTGAGCTCAGCAGATACAGGCCAGTATGCAAGCACATCAGCCAGTAATTCTGAACGCACTGTTGAAGAATCTCAAACACCTGCTGCTGCTGAGTCTGAAGCCCAGAGCTCCAGTCAGCTTCAGTCTAATGGAATACAGAATACACAGGATCAGTCAAATTCTCTCCAGCAGGTGCAAATTGTAGGCCAGCCTATCTTACAGCAGATCCAAATCCAACAACCTCAGCAACAGATTATTCAGGCTATTCCACCACAGTCATTTCAACTCCAGCCAGGGCAGACGATTCAGACCATCCAGCAACAGCCTTTGCAGAATGTTCAACTTCAAGCAGTAAATCCGACTCAGGTGCTTATCAGGGCTCCAACGTTAACCCCTTCAGGGCAAATCAGTTGGCAAACTGTACAGGTTCAGAATATTCAGAGTCTTTCCAATTTGCAAGTTCAGAATGCTGGGTTATCCCAACAATTAACCATCACCCCAGTGTCTTCAAGTGGTGGCACAACTCTTGCTCAGATTGCTCCTGTGGCTGTTGCTGGTGCCCCAATAACTTTGAATACTGCCCAGCTTGCATCAGTGCCTAACCTTCAGACAGTGAGCGTTGCCAACCTGGGTGCTGCAGGTGTTCAAGTGCAAGGAGTTCCAGTCACAATCACTAGTGTTGCAGGTAAGTTACTACAATCTTTTTAAGATCCATTTATACCATTTTTAATAATAGTTATTGTTTTTCTTTGCTAATCCTTATGTTTGATGTAGACCTCTGAAGTACACATAACTAAGGAATCTAAAATATACAGGAATATTATACTAACTGTTATAACTCACCAGTGTAATCTGTTCACATTTGTACATTTTTGTATTAGGTATTATGTGTTAAATTTGTTAGACAGCTTAATAAAATTCTTCCGTAGAGCAAAACATGCTGATTAGAATCATAATTGTCTTCTGTAATTTAGACATCATATTGGAGTACATTTGAACTCTTTTCAGAAAACCCTAGTCAAAATGATGTTTATATATTCCTTAAGGGAAAGTAGTTCTAATGCTGAATTAGTACAGTTGTGAGTCTGTTGAAGTTTCAATTCTATTTTGTAATAAGGCTAACTTTCTTAAATTGGGAGTTACTTCTCATGCTTCAGCATCTTGTTGTCCATGCTTTTGCATTTTGTAATACAGCATTGTTCTAGACTAGATATCGATGCAGTTGAGATAATTTTAAGTTGCAAATTGTTTAACTTTTGTCTGCTTTTCTGCTAAACCTGGGATTTGCTCAAGCTTTTGAGTTTATAGTCCTTCACTTATAAAATTGTATTTAAGTAAATCGTCGTTATTTATAGGTGTTTTTAGTGTGAAGTTGGTGGAAAGCAATTAAAAATGAAGTTAGTAAAGTGTCACTAATTAGAATTAATTGCGGTAAGGTCATTTTAAAGCCAGTTATAAAGCAGTTATTTGTTATGCACATAAATTATACTTCTGAAGTAATTGGAAAACTAGTCTTGAGTATTTTAATCTTTCTGGACCAGTCTTATTTTACCTAATACCTTTTGTTTTCTAATAATTAAACACTTTATTGATTCTAATTTAGTGAAAGCCTAGTTGTGGTTTTAGTGCTTTTGATATTTTCAGATCTCTTTGGTTAAATATTTGTATTTTGATAATCTGAAATGAATAAGCATATCCCTTTTGAATTACTTTCTTAAAATAAATTTCAGAAAAATTAAGCAAGGTTCTTGTTTTACAGTTAATACCTAAAGTAGATGTATATATTTAAATTTGGAAATTGCTGGATAGAGTTCTCTTCTAGAAAACAGAGGTTACATGTTTTGTTTACTCATTACCTGTAAACCAGAGCTATCCAATGGAATTTTCTGTGATGATGGAAATGTTCTATATTTGTTTTATCCAATATATTAGCCACTAGCCATGTGTGGCTATTGAGCACTTAAAATGTGTCTAGTGCAACTGAGGGACTGATTTTAAATTTTATTTACTTTTAGTTTAAATAGCCCCATGTGGCTAGTGACTCCTGTGTTATCAGTAGGGTAGTCAGAGTATTTTGTGTGTGGTACTTTTTCCCTTAAAACTATTACAACACAGCTATGTGAATGTTTCTCTGGATTATAATCCTTAGCTTGCTTTGTTCCTACTCTTTTTCCATATGTTGACAATAAGTATCTCAGAAAAATGGCTGTTTTTGGTGGGTTGAAAGTTCGCATTGTCAAGAGCAAAAGTTATTCCACTTATATATTGTCTTGTCTATAAAACATTAGTTAGTGAATTATGACTATGAGAATTGAGTAATTTATAATTTATGTTAGATATGGTCAGTTCTGGTCTCTAATTAATATCAGTTACACTGTAGAGTTTTTCCCTTGCCCATTGTGGGGCTAAGCCAGTGTTACTGAAAGTCTAATCTGACTGCCTGACTCAGATTCACTTGAATGATGCATTATTATAAATACAGGATCCAGCTCCTGGAACTGTGATTTTGAGGGGATGTGGTCAAGGAATTTGCCTTTCAAACCAACTTTCCAGGTGATTTTAAATCTCACTGAAATTTCAGAACCAAGTTTCTAGTCATCAGCAATGAACCGGAGGAAAAATGTGGAAGCAGATGGATGTCGAACTAGTTCATATGTGCCTCAGAGAATGGATTTTGATGGCAAATACAACTTACAGTTTTTATTCCACAAACATATTGACTGGCCACATGCTGAGCACTTCCAATAGGTGTGTTTAGTCTTCCATTTTCAGGGCTAATTTTTTTTTTTTTTTAATTTAAAGAGTTTACATGTTGTGGGGGGCACTTAAGTGTGTGAAGAAATTTGAACTTTACATAATTGGATTTTTTTTTCCTCCTGAAACCAAAGATTTTAAATTTTGTTGATGTTGAAGAGTCTGTGTTCTAATAGATATGCTCAATCATTTTAAGTAGCCATGTTACAAAGACCAGAAATGTACCCTGATTTCTACAAGTCATTGCAGTTGATTTGGGCCTGGTTTGCAGATTTTACCCTATTTCCTAGCATATTAGGAGCTTGACAAATGTTTGCTTAATTAAGGTGTAGAAGATGATGGAGAAGATAGCAACTTGGAATTGTGAGCAATAGCCCGGAGTAGTTTTAATTAGGCTAATAAAATAGCTCTGTTTTCATTAATTTCTTTTGGTTTTGAGCTTTTAAGACCTTAAGAGTGGGACATGAGGTACTTTACTGTCTCTAGAAGGGAGAGAATGAGCAAGTGACTATATATCCCTTTTATAAATGAGCCCTGGGAGTTCAGATCTTATACTTTGTGTCCCCATTCACTTTTTAGTACTTTTTGGTTGTTTTAGTACCCCACCCCAGGAGAATGGTATTGTTTAATTTTAATTTATAGGGAAAAATTTGCTCTAAATATTCATGACAACTATTACCAGAGCTTGAAATAGTTATTAGTAGTCAGCTTTTACAGAATACAGTGGCTCACTCAAGATCAAGGAACTAAAACTATTCCACTATCCATCCTCGTGTTACTCTTCAGGAGGTAGGGGAAAGGTCTGTATGAGGAAGGCAGAAAAAGAAAAAAATATCATATGAGGCAGATTGAATAAAACCAGTTCTTGACTTTATGAAATGAGAATGTTAGTGACAACCTGCGGGGAACATCATTCCTTAATAATGTATTTAGAATAATATATTTTTGTGGTTCGGTCTCAGCTTGAAATCCTGAGTTCCAGGCTGAGTGAGCATCTAGCATTTAGATAGTTAGACTTATAGTAGGAACTACAAATACATTTAACCTCTACTAACTATTGTTTGTTTCCTTGTTGGGATTCTGAATTTGACTTTGACTAAAGGAGAAGCAGAAATACTTGTTATAAAAGCAAAGATAACCAGTTATCCTTTGTTTTAATTAAGTGAGGAAAGTGGAAGATGATTTGCTCAAAAACTGTCTTATCACAATGTACTGTGGTGGTCAAAAAGCCCTAAATAAAATGAACTTTAGGAATTTCATCTCTTTAAAGAATTTAGAATATGTAGGAACCATTGGTATCTAAATCCCTAATTACCTTGTATTGGCTAGCATTTGATTGATTTTTGGCTGTAATCACATAGAGTAACAGATCATGCTATTGCTTTATGGATGGATATTTCTTTGTCAGTTTTAGTGGCAATTAACATTTTTATGCTAATTCTCACACAAAAGAAGTTCGGACTTGAGGATAAGAGGTTGCTGGCCCTTCAAGAACTTGACTCTTACTTTTCTCTACTTCTTTGGGGATTTAAAATGTAAAATCTGCGGATGTAGCAGAACCAGGAATGGAAGGGCCAGTTTTTCATTGTTGCTGACATTGGGGACCAAAGAAAATAATTGACATATTTAAAAACCTAACTTAATTCAGTAGAATCAACCTCTTGCATCACACTTTTTTTTAGAGCTATTAAAATTAGAAAATTGACTTGAAGTTTAATACAAATATGGTTTTCCTTTGCTGTATATATTCTAATTAGAGATTTAGATACCAATGGTTCCTACATGTCCTACAGTCTTTAAAGAGATGAAATTCTTAAAGTTAATTAATTTGAATTTCCCTTCTAGGCATCTTTATATATACACATGTTATGCAAACATACACACAAATGTATATACACATGTATATACGTTTACACAGATATCTGTATACGTCTACATATAATCCTGTGTTTGGTTGTTATTTCATTTTTCAGAGAGGCCAGGTTTACTTCTTTAATTTTATTTCTCTAAAATCTTCTAATTCTGTTCATTATAGATTGAAATTTGTTTTGAGGAACTTACATCATACCCTGTACAAGTGATGTAGGTTCTGAACTACCAAGTTGGTTTGACCAATTAGATGATATACAGCATGATATATAGATGATATAAGATTTGTTGATGATAACAACAGTATTGTTGCCTATTTTTAAGATTTTCATGGAAGATAAAAAAGTACTCAATGTAGAGCCACATTAATTTTTTAAAAGGGCATCTTTGAGAGGGATTTCAGGATAGAGAGAAGAGCAAGGGGAAACAATTTTAATCGTCTGCTTTTAAAATTTGAACCAGGGAATATGTAACAAGTTATACTTAAGGATTACTGGAGCAGGGATAAAAGCAAGTTGAAAAAAATGAGAAGCTTGGTAAAGGAGGAAGATAGGGAAAAGTCGCTATACATAGATTTTGCAGAAAAAGCAGATGTACAAAATTATAGAATTTTAGTTTGAAAGGATCTTTGAGATTATTGCTCACCAGTTGTAGCCTTTTGATATTGCTGCTGATGTCTATTTATAAAGGAATTTTGTATTTTTACTGTTATGTGAAAGCAGAAATATGGGTCAGAGGTTCTTCAGTGCTTGCTACATGAAGTACTGTAGGGATGACATAGTGAGGCTTGACAGTGAAAGGGGGAACCTGGCCAGGTGCCAGACCATAGGTATGTGTAGGCTCTTCTGTATTCTTCTGATCTAGGTATGAATTGAGGTTGAATGTTCATAATACTTATCATTTTGCCACCTAGTCAATGAGGAAATTGTGGCAAAGGAAACCTGTTGAACCACAAATTGCTTATACAAGTGTAATAAGATAAAGGCTTAATGAAATTGTAGTTAACTAGGTAACTGAAAGATGATTGACCATCTTTCCTCCTCCCTCACTCTTAGGGGTGCT